TTTGTCCCTTAATTTTCTTTTGCTTATTCATTCTTTAACCTCCCTAGCGGTCTGATTATGTCATTATTTCTGTGCTCAAAGCGGTACATTTTTTTGCATGGAAATATGTTGTTTTTTTATTGTAGGCCTGTAATTTTTAGGAATAACTCACTGAAATCTGTCCGAACAAGAGTCTAGTAAACATCCCGGGTATGTTAAAATTTTAAACACAAAATCATAAATTATAATTTAATAAATAATCATAAAAAATAAAAATATAATAATAAATTTAATTCAATAATATAATCAAACCAAAAACACTGAAATTTTAAATATAGCACAAGTTTGCACATCACTGAGCAAAGTCACAGAATTGTTTTCAGTGTCTGATGACGAATTTCCCCACGAATCATTATCACTCAATTCTGCAAGTGGTTCTGATTTACTATCGCTGTTCTCTAGCTGGTCTAAAACCACTTTTGACCTAAAGGGACACTTTTTGGACGCCATGGACATTTCTCAGTTTCCAGGCAGAAAGAACAGTAAAAATGCAGGCAGGGCACAGGACAAAGCACTGGGGACAAAATGTATGTGAAATGGTTTGATACAGTAATGTTTTACTATGTGATTTTAGTTTATTTAGTGAATGTCCCGACGTCCCAGGGAGTGGAACCCAGAAGACAGAAGCTGGCATCGGCCGGAGGACATTGCAGGGGACACTGCAGGGGGGACATTGCTGGAGCGCAGGAAAAGGTAAGTGAAGAAGATATCCCGGAGCAACGCTGCAAGGTATTCCCAAGTGTAGCTCAGGGTTACCGCTTGTGGTGCTGAAACTTTACCCCGAGCTACACTCGGAAATACTGCCAGGGAGGTTAAGCTACATGCTATTCATAGATTTGAATGTTCGCGAATATTGTGTACTCCTATCTCCTGTACAGGATCACCTTAGTACAAATGAAAAGGAGTGGAGTAGATCAGTACAATACAGAAGTGGATGAAAATCTTGATGTCATAAGTACTACTGTTGCTGCCAAAAGATGAACGTTCATATTTAAAGGATAAGTTCACTTTTGGTAACATGTTACATTAGTATTTAGGATGTTACATGTAACATGTTACCAAAGAGCACCTGCTTGCATCCCTCTGATCTGCACTGTGATGGCAGGCAGGGGATCTTCTCCTCACACCCACTGTCCCATTTAAAAGTAGCAGCACCCCTCAGGCTGCATCATTCATTCACAGCAATCTGTGAATAAATGTACCATAAATACCATTTGACACCACAGCAGACCTCTTGTATTTCTCAATGAACTGAAAGGGCATTGGTGAGCGCTGTCATAGTTCACTGATCTTAGAGCTCTCCGATAATTGTCTGCCCATTCAGGAGGTATGGGCAGACAGCTATACTGAGATTCTGCAGGAGCCTTACATTGCAAGTGCGATCTACTGATTGCAGGTGCAATGCTCTGCAAGCTCCAGAAAAAAATAATAAATGCTCTTTTTTACCTGCAAAAATTTGTGTGTTTATTTTTTTTTAAAGGTTAATTTAGCTTTTAATATTTGGAGTCACTACGGCTTGAGGTAAAATTAGCAAACTATGCAGCTAGCGACAATTCATCTCTGATGACCATAACTCACAAAAGATGTAACATGGGTGTAATCAAAATGCCAATGTACTTAAAAACGTAATAATATCTAAGGTTTTGATATGCCAAACTTGTTTTTTAGCCATCACAGAAAACATATTTCCTGACTCCAATAACATCCTCTTGTAGGAACATTTTTTCATATTTGTTAGCTGGCACAAAAAGTTGCTCAGATTCTGGCCCATTGATATACCCCAAACTGTGATCAGCATGTTACCTATTGAGTATGTCCCTTTCCCAATTTTCATAGCTCTCTATAGACCGTGAACATTAATATTTAGGAAGAACTAAGGAAACTTACTTGCAGTACTCAGGATACCTTAGCAGGCCCAAATCGGACTTTCACTAAAAGCCTACCCCACCTGAAGGACCTACTGAGGCAAAAGAGTGGCCTTGTCAAATGTATCTTTATCAGGGCAGGACACAGTCAGTGTTCCTCAAACAAAGAATGTTTCACTTAAGAATAAAGTGTCATGAATAGTAACAAGTAGGAAGTTTATTAGTATACTTTACAAATTGATGTTCTTACTGTACATGTGTTTTGCATGTTATAAACCAGATATGTTATTTGAGGTTTAATTGCTATTATTGCCTGCTGAGCTGAATCTCAGTCCTGTATAGTAATTTTGCAGAAGTTGCTTTCTTATTCTGGGTCACAATCCTGTACAATATCTTTTTGTCTCTTTTGGTCAGATGACCATGTCGACCACGCTTATGCTTATTCCAGGGAAGTTCTCCTGGAAATTGTATATTCCATCATAACCTTTGATACTGTACCTCATAACATGGCAAATAAAATGGCAACTTCAGTCACAGAGGCACCAGCTAAATGGGCACCAACAATTTGCCCTGTTTGAAACTTAGTAAGCTCTGACATGCCTACATATTACTAGAAACACACGCAGTGAATGATGAAAGTGAAGCTTCCCACCTGTAGGTGGCTCATCACACAGCAGAAGCAAAAGAATGTTACATCACTTCCGCTTTCAATGTGAAACATGTCTTCACCTTCATACCTGCAAATTATGTAGTGTTTCCATTTTATCATCTAACCGCTCTACTATATATACTGTATGTATATATATAGATATATATATAGATATATATATATACAGTATATATAATTATTATTATTTTATTTTATTATATTTACATGTACATTAGACTAGAAACAGTTTATTTACAATATTAACACATATTTGAATGGCAACTGCAGAATGTGCTTGAACAGGATCAAAAGATGGGTACCAAACAAGTAATATAGAGGTTCAAAATAGAGTCTGCAATCACCTCCACTGATGATCATCTGCCAAAATAAATTATAGGCTAATCCCATTTGGATCCAGCCGCTGCATGACCCACATGTAATTGTGGACACTTTAATAATATTAAAAAAAATTACCAATACTTCCAACAACTTAAGAAAATTTGCACACTGTATATACATTTGTTTTATAATTGTGAGCTGCAGGAGACACTGCGGAAGGTTAAACATTTATATTTACTGGAACAATAAAAATATGTTTTGAACAGATGCCTAAGCATTACAGTCCGAAATATCTGAGGATAAGTACTAAATTAATTTAAATTCTGTCCATGGGATAGTTATTTCTAACACACAAAGAGAAAGGATAGCATCAAAAATTATATTGTAGTTGTCTAAAAAGCTAGATCTAAACTTTAGTGGAACAGCTCACTTTCAGCCAACTAGTGCCTTTGGAATCAGAAAAAAGGAGACATGCAGAACAGACTATTTACATGGTACAATTAATACATTCCTTTGAGCCCCATTAATTTACACCTAACATGTAAGATTGTTTTGGTAAATCACATTTGTAAAAGCTAACAAGTTGTAAGGGGCAATTTATAAAAAGTACAAGTGTGCCTGTTCACTGGCAGAAAATTAAAAGCAGAGATAAAAACATGTAACCTTGTAGAGGATTACCAAATAAATAGAAATGTTTCATTCAAAGGTACAAAACCATTAAATTGTTCAATTGATTCAGATTCCTTAGGCAGCTGTGGAAAAAGAGAGCATACTGCTATAGCATGAGTTCTCTGTATTTCCAGAAAATCAAACCTATGCCATTGCAAAGCAATCTCTATTCAATTACTGAAAGCAAAGAAAAAAAATGACTCTAGCTCTATGACAGTGTTGTCCATGTTTCTCTGAGGAATTGAATGTCTGTGTGATTTCACATAGGATCCAGGTGGTGCCCCTGTCTCCTTAATGCCAATTTCTGAACAGCTTGTTATGAGTCAGCAGATTGAGACAGGGGCATTGCTGCATGCTGTTCCATTTACAAACTGTCAAGCCAAACGGAAAGCAGTAGAATATGCCAACAAATAGTAATGTGTATGATACTTAAAAACACTAGTATTTGATGTTAGGATGTAATGAGTATGCTTATTTTTTCATATGAATTTGTTCTGTTTTTAACAATGTCATTCTGTGACAAATATTCTGTGTTGTATAACAAAGGTGTTGTCAAAATGAAGAGAAAACTAAAGCTCTTGATAAGTTATAGCTGTATACCCACTTGAAGACCAAGCCTTTTCTAGCACTTTTTGTTTACATGTAGTATTTTTTGATAGAAAATGTCTTAGAACCCCAAACATTATATATTTTTTAAAGCCTACGAGAATAAAGAATAGATAATACATTGGTGGGTGTTGCAATTTTTTATGTCACAAAGTATTTGCACAGCATATTTTCAAATGCAATTTTTTTTTTAAAAACTACACTTTTTTAAATTTTAATGCAAAAAAACCCACAATACATAACCCAATATTTGGTCAAATATAAAATATAGATACCAAACATATAACGCTTTTGAATTACACATACCCATGCAAAAGCAATAAACAACATAAATTTTACTATCCATAGGCAACATTTTAAAAGCCTTTACAGGTTACCACTTTAGATTTATATAGGAAGTCTGGTGCTAGACTTGCTGCCCATGATCTGATGTTCACAGTGATACCTCACATGGATGGAGCAATCGCTGTTTGTGTGCTTGCGGAATGACATATGCGTTCACCTTTGCTCAAAAGCATGGGGGGACGGAAGTGCTTTAATGTTTTTAAACTGTTTATTAAATGTTTACACTGTCACTTTATTTTTTTAAATAATTTTTATTGCTGTCACAAGGAATATAAACATCCCTTGTGACAGCAATAGTCAGTGACATCAAGTCTTTATAGAGAGATCTGGGGTCTATAAAACTTTAACCACCTCCCACCCACCATATAGTCCAATTACGGGCGCAAGGTGGTTCTCTCGTTCTGGGAGGACATCATATGATGTCCTCCCATTCTCACCACGCATGCGCTGCTCAGGGAGCGCGCAGTGCGGCGATCGGCGGTGCGCTGTGTCCCTCGGACACAGAGGATCACCGTTCTACGGAAAGAGCCGAAGATGTCGGCTCGGTCATGTGATCAGCTGTGTCCAATCACAGCTGATCACATGTAAACAGGGAAATGCCGGTTATCAGCATTTCTCTCCTCACGAGCTGTCACGCTGACAGCTCGAGAGGAGAGGAGAGCCAGTAATCGGCATTCTGCGGAGGGGACATGTACACTGATCATCAGGGCACTGATGATCAGTGTGCCCTGATGATCAGTGTGGCCCCAGAAGTGCCACCTATCAGTGTCCATCAGTGCCAGCTGCCAGTGCTGAACAGTGCCACGTGCCAGTGCCACATCAATGCCACATATCAGTGCCTACCAGTGCACATCAATGCCACATATCGGTGCCCATCTGAGCTGCCTTTCTTGTCACCCATCTGTGCCAGTTAGTGCCGCCTAACAGTGCCAGTCAGTGCCACATATCAGTGCTGCATTTCAGTGCCCATCAGTGATGCATGTCAATGCCCATCAGTGCCACCTACCAGTGCCTCCTCATCAGTGCCCATCAGTACCACCTATCAGTGTCCATCAGTGCAGCCTATCAGTGCCCATCACTGCAGCCTCATTAGCGCACATCAGTGAAGGAGAAAAATCACTTATTTACAAAATCTTACAACAAAAACTAAGAAAAAACTTTTTTTTCCAGAATTTTCAGCGGTTTTTGGTTTGTTTAAGAAAAAATAAAAAACTCCAAGGTGATTAAATACCACCAAAAGAAAGCTCTATCTGTCACAAAAAAATGATAAAAATTTCATATGGGTACAGTGTTGCATGACCACACAAATGTCATTCAAAGTGTGACAGCGCTGAGAGCTGGAAATTGGCCTGGGCAGGAAGGGGGTATAAGTGCCCTGTAGGCAAGTGGTTAAAAGCATTTTATCACACAAAGATTGGTGTGATCAAATGCTTTTCATTTTTAAAAGTGGCACTGTTTACATCCGGGGAAATTGGAAACAATGTATGCTCATTGCTTCCAGTTTCCTATATAATAGAGGCGAACAGTGCATTTCTTTGTTTGCCTCTATGATCAGCCAGAGGAAGTGCTAGATAGTCGATCGTGGGTCCCAGTGGGACAGGACAACCCCTTAAAGCCACAAAAGGTGTTGGGAGGTTGGACATCCCCTCCCACTGCTTGTAAATGTGATCCAGTGGCTACTTAACCATTTGGATTGCTTTTACAAAAGAGCTGACTGTCGACTCTAAAAAACGGTACCAGGATGATTCCTTCAACTGCAGGCATCATCCCGCTATAATCACTTTAATTTTAGCAATGTACCGGTACATTGCTGGTCCGCGAGTGGATATTCCTGAAAGATCCCAGAAGGTCAGTAATAAACACTGAGCTGAGGGAAGAGATAGTAAGGTCAGGTCAGTCATCGAGCTGCTTTTACTAGTATAACAACGTAAAAAAAAATATAATATTTTGAATATATTTAATAAAAATATTTATTAATACTGTATATTGAATATGGACAAAATTGTAGTAGTATTTCAAATATATGGCAATATATTTGGGAAGAATACTTTTAAAATATATTTCAAATATATTTTTCTTCCATGTGGGTAATAGTGCCTCATATTAAATATGTCCCTGACAAAGTGATAATAAAATAACATCTGGGCTACCCACTTAATATATTTCCATTGGTACCTTTCTGTGTTTTATATTTTTGAATGCTCTTTTCTTAGTCCGAGTGGGTGATTTTGGTGCTCATTTGGTTGTTTGAACACTCTATGAAAAATGATTGAACCAGAAAATAACATCAAGTGGGTTCTGAAGATCTGGGTGTTTTACCCCCTAGCTGGCCCTGTCCTTAGCCTATAACTTTTATTACTGTATGGTCTTGAAGTGGTTATACTATTACAAAAATAACCATTCAGGCTTAATATTTTGTATGTTCACATGTTTAGGTATTTCATAAATTGTTTTACATAAAGTTTAATGCTGAGAAACTCTATTTAAGCTTTTACAAAACCCAGAAAAATCACCGCTCTACCCCAAATATCAAAGTGTATATATCCAAATTATATAAACCGTGCCTATAAAATAAAGTAAAAAAAAATATTAATATTAATTATTGTTGCCACTGCTTACTGCAATGTGTTCCCACACCAAAATGCTAAATATAACAATAAAATGTAGCGCAACAAATCAAAATACAAAGATACAAAATAGCAATCAACTCCTATAAATACCAGTCCACACTCTTTCGATGTCATACAATCAAAAGAGTGAGGGTGGGTATTTATAGGAGATTAAAACATCTAATCAGGTTCCCTATGAGGAAGTCACTTTACTGAGTGATGAAACGTGTAAGAGGTGGTACCTAGATGATGTCAGCACACCCGGAGGGTTCAGAATTGCTTTCTTTTTCATAGCTCCCCCCAGGGGCGGACTGACAACTCATGGGGCCCCTGGGCAATAGGGGATCATGGGGCCCCTGTGTCCTTGCCCAAACTCAAAAAAGCCTATGAAAAAGGTACCAGGGGCATCTCATGGGGCCCCCTACTGACTCCGGGCCCTCGGGCAGTGCCCAAGTTTCCAAATGGTCAGTCCGCCCCTGGCTCCCCCTGGATATCCAGACGTAAAGTTACAGCTGCTATTTGAATGATTGTATCTAGTGCATTGGTTCAGAGAGTGCACTGTTTGTGAGTAACATTTTATTCTTTTAATAAAACAGAATAGTTACATACTACACTATGAGATTTCCTATTCCTTTTGTATCCCATTGAATGGAGTTCTGACATAAGGAGGTGAATAGAGGGCGCAGTTAGGATCCGGGATAATTTCTATTACCCAATATCTGGGTAGACGCTTTCTGACCTTAACCTCAAGGTGGGTCATGGTGTGGAGGTAAGAGGCAGGGGATAAAGGTGGTGGTGCACTGTGGTGGAGTAATTTTCACATGTATGTAGAGCAAGACATGTGTTCACCATTAAAAGGTTGAATCACAACACCATTTAAAAGATATGGAAGTGGACTGATTCGAACACAGAGACTGATTACTATTATTCACTATGAGAGTGTATTGTATATGGTAATATGATATAGCACCATTGGGAGGAGCTGATTGCTATTTTGGATCTTTGTATTTAGATTTGTTGTGCTACACTTTTCTTGGTATTTCTATTTAAGCTTTTGTTGACACAGTCACACGGACATAAAATAGAACTGACTCTAAACTTTAATCATATTACTAGTGAGGAAAATCTGCTCAAGTAGAGATTGATGCCTCTATTTTAGAGTCAGTTATCTAAATGGGTTGGCTATAATTGTATAGGTTTATTGCATCAGTTACACTTCAGGAAAGATGATTTGAAGATAAAAGAACACACGTTTCTTCAGATTCTGAAATACTGTAAATATTAATCAAACATACTGTTTTAAAAAAAGTGTATTCTTCCCACTTTTTGCAATACAAACAAAAAAAAATCATATTTAGATTGGTTATACCCCAAACATGCTATTGATTTTTCATTATAAATGTTTCTTGTTCATTAGAATTTAGTGATGGTCTGAACAAAACATTTCAGCAAATATGTTTGTTTTCTTCTAGTTAACAGAAAAGTGTGACTCAAATCTTCATAGAGACAATTGCAAGAGAGAAATGTTCTAGAAATAGCAAATATTTTAAAGTGAAAACCACATTTTTTGGCATTTGCCTAACCAAGATATTTTAGTTCCAAAATGAATAATAACAATAATTTATTTATTTTCATTTGTTGTCACGTACCTGGTAGCAGGGGCGGACTGACCATTTGGAAACTCGGGCACTGACTGAGGGACCGGGGTCAGTAGGGGGCCCCATGAGATGCCCCTGGTACTTTTTTTATAGGCTATTTTGAGTTTGGGCAAGGACACAGGGGCCCCATGATCCCATATTTCCCATGGGGCCCCATGAGTTGTCAGTCCGTCGCTGCCTGGTAGTGAGCCTGATGTGCAGAGGAAGGCCTCTCGTACAGCTCTGGCTCAGGGGTCACCGATAGTGGAACAGTAACCACAAGAGTGCAGCGAGTTATGAGTGCCATGATCAGTCCAGTAGTCTGTGTAGGTAGTAGCTGTCACTTCGTTGAAAGGATGCCAGGAACAGAGCAGCTGGTGGTAGGCAGATGTCTCAGTAGGGCAGGCTGGAAGCAGGTACATGGCAGAGCAGGCAGGCTGATAACAGACAGCTGACAACAAGAAGACATCACAACAGGCAGGCTGGTAGTATACAGGCTGACAGCAGATAGATGGCACAGCAGGCAGGCTGATAGCAGATGACTGGCACCAGGAAGATGCCACAGCAGGCAGGCTGGAAGTGGACAGGCTGGCAGCAGGCAGACATATCAGATGAGAGCCTATTGGACTACGGATCTGGAGCAGTCTGGATAAACAGGATACAGGGTCAGGAAAACCGGGTCAGCAACAGACCTCAGCAGATCGGGCATAAATTGCAGGCAGGAGAGGAGTCAGGTCACAGGCCAATGTCAGCAACGGTGGAAGCAGAAGGCAGAGATAGTAAGCAGAGGCATAATCCGGAGAACAAGCCAAGGTCAGGGCAGATAACAAACAAGCAGAATTAGGAGCAAGCCAGGTCAAGTTTAGAGGTCAGGCACTGAAATCAGGATAAACACACACAGAAGATGCAGACCAAACAGCAATTAACCAGTGCAGTAATCCTGTTTAAATAGGCCATTTAGTGCCAGTTTTGGTAACAGGCGTGCACCCATATGCACGAGTGCGCATGCGCTTGCAAGTGTGTGTGACTATGAATAATCTTGTGCACGTTTGCCCAGCCAGTTGTCAGTCTGCGTATGTGAATTTTTTATGCTCCAGGAAGCTTTTCTGCACTATGAGCAAGCCTTTCCTGACAGTCGTAACAAATCTATAGTGCAAATACTTCTACAAACGTCGCAATGCTCAAATAATTGTCACTGAATGTACAGGAAAATTTGAAAGGAAGATTGGCTTTTTTGCATGTATGCTCTTACCCTAAACAAACAAACAAACATTCTTCTATTCACAGATTACAGTGAATTGCTAAAAAGTGGCATAGTTGGCCTGTTTATCTATATACCCTAGTGGCTAAATATGATGTTTAAAGCCATTACATTGTGTACAAAAACTTCCAGAAGCATTGCCAACTATGTATTGAAAAGACTTAGCAGCCCATAGATGAGTCTGTTTTTTTAGTTCAACCAGTGGGTTAAGCACACTGACTCTATGAAAAACTGAATTCTACCATCTACACTCGGAGACTTCCCTGCTGTCAGAATACACTGATCAGTGTCACAGGCTATATAGCCTGCAGCACTGATCAAGTAGAGAAAATCCGACAGAGTGGTTGAACAAAAGTTGATTGGTCCCAGTTGAACCGGTGATTTTCAATCCAAGTATGGCCAACTTTGGAGAAGGACTTACAGTCTCCTTTTACTTCAACTGTATGAAAATACCATCCTTATTTTATATATCATCAACACGGTTTCCCCTTTGTTAATGAAATACTATTTATGTTTGCTTCATTGCAGTCAGTTCCACAAAAACCCCTGCAGCTGTTTCCAAGTGCTCCTAAAAGCTACAGGTTTAGGCCAGGACTATATCCTGCCTAAGAAGACCAAACAATGTGCTCAGATATCCCCAAAACTGCTATTAAGCACCCTGAATACATCCCTAGAGTATAAGCTTGCTGATTATTATCATGGATGGAGGATGGGTTGATGAATCTATGAATGGAGGACAGTTGGATGAATGAAAGCACTTCTATTCATAGACCTTGGGGTTGATTTACTTAAACTATAGAGTGCAAAATCTGGTGCAACTAAGCATAGATACCAAAACAAAAATTTTTTGTCAAAGCTTCACTGAACAAACCTTGCACCAGACTTTGCAATCTACAGTTTTAGTAAATCAAATGCTTGTAGAAGCTGTACAATAGTTTCTATAAATGTAGGAGCTAGGCAGAAATGGCAAGCATAGTCAGGCACTCTTGATGAATGACAGCTCCTTAGCTCTACTTGAAAGATTACAGTGGTGGGGGTGGGTGTACTTTATAAAATCATTTTTACATAAACCAATTCTGTTGTATGCCATTCAGTGTTTGTAGGTAAGTTTATCTTGTCGATATTTTTCAACTGTATATTTTTATGCAATTATATATGCAGGGCAAATAATATTAAGTCTTAACACTGCATAATCACAGTAAGACCACATGGAAGGATAACTTTAGACTGCTTTGCTTTGCAAATCATATATTGAATTCCCTCAACAGACTTCCAAAATATGCATTTTGGAAGCTTTTTAAGATCTGTTTGTACAGTTTTCAAACTTTTGTCTTTTACTTTGATGTTATGTTATATGATTTACCATATCAGTTAAGAAACAACATCATTTGAACTAATATTTAGGCAGAAGAAATATTTTCTGTAAAAGAGGAAATGATAAAAAGCTGGTATAATTTCTTTGTACAGCTATATCATTCAGGGCCATTTTCAAATGTTGCTCCCCTTTTCTTGACCCAAATTCAGTAGTGTAGCATTAGCCAAATAAGAAGGATCATTCATTAGAACAGTGATACTGCGCTATTAAGCAAAAACCACTAGTAACATAATTTCATATATATGGAAAATGATTATATATAAAATGAGATGAATAAGAGGAGTAATGACGATGTGTAAATATGAGTGGGGAAGACAATACACCATGTTTTGTTTTTATTCAGATATATATTATGTTTTTTTTATTCTGATATATAGTATATTCTTTTATTCTTTGTGAACTTTGCAGTATCATGTACTTCCTGCTGACTTTTGTTCTTTTTAGGTATTGAAAGTAGGTTTGAGTGTGTAGTCTGAAAATGGTCATATACTACCACTGAATTGTTGCTTTCTGCATTACAATAAAATGTATTTTCATGACAAAAGTATTGCAGGAATTTTATTGTGTAGTTCAATATATCAATAAGCAAGGGTTTAAAAGAATACTTTTAAAGCACATTATCTCTTTTATTACATCCAGTCATACCAACTGACTCTGAATATAACCTATTATCTATACTTTTTACTTTTGATGTGCTTTGAGGCAGGCCAGTATGTACATTGATATGTTTACATTGAGCCTGTTTTCATGGTGGTTGGATTTTCTGGACATTTTCTTTGATTCATGGCATGCTCATGGCACTGAATATTTTATATCACAAGGTGTGTAAAGGAAATGCCTTTTTTCATTCTGTGTCTGTAGCTACAGTACAGATGCAGACAAAACGATTGCCAACAGAGCAATTTTGACATTGGCCTTGACTTTTGATGACAGATCTCAAAGTACAACAAAAGGTAAATGTAATAATAGCTTATCAATACAGGATGGTCGGCTAAGCCTTGAAATATTAAAATAATGAATGTACTGTCATTTAAACATTATCCTATACTAATAAAATAAGACAGTGCTAAAATAGAATAATTGCCTACTCTTGACTGAGTCGCTCTATGGAAGCATCCCAAAGACTCCAAGACCCAACAGTCTGAGATACTATGTAGGTCTATTGTTCATCTACAGTATATCTTGATGACTGCAGGACATTCCATGGCTAACAAATGTTGTCATATTTATGTTATTGGTATTTGGTCCAACAATTTGTTTGGATATTTTAAGTGGTTACCAAAAATAGAAGGATACCGGACTCCCTTTTTATTTTTCAACCTGCTTAAAATATGAAAATATGAGAAACTGGTTGGCCACTGTTAAAGCATACAGTTATTTCCAGATATTTTTTAGACAAGTTAATTGTGTGTGTGTAATTCTAGCAGAATTATTTTTGGAAGCAACATGGTAACAATTTGTTTGTAACTAAATTAGTCAATGCACAGTAGATATATTTCTTAAATACAGAAATACTCTTGGAATTCCTTGGCGTCTATTCATATTCTATACATTTCAATGGTGGGTTGAGTCAATGATATCTTTTGCTTTCAGGTTCAAAGATTAAACCATGAAATTAATTGGATACTTCTAATAAATGTAATACTCAGGAAAATTGTTTGTATGAACAACATTCTTAGTCACTGACTCAGTTAATTACATTTTTTCACACACAATTTTAAAGGTATGCACATGTAACCAGTATTAAATCACTTTGAAATTTTCAGAAGATTGCAATAACTTCATTATGCTAGAGTACATAGTCACTTCATAATCACTTTTATTTTGTAGAGGTATGATTATAAATTAGTATAATCACACTGACCACCATTTTATCTGGAGCATTTGTGGCTGCTGTAGAATCCCCTTGTGACATTGGTGGTCACTGTATATACCCTTGTTCTGTGGCAGTCAGTGTAGAATTCCCTGTAATTCTGGACATTTGGACCACTAATGTAATGGGGGAATTTACAATTTTGCATGAAATGAAAATTATAAAAGGTTTATTCTCTCATTAATTTTTATTTCATCTTTTAAAAAGGCTTGTGTTACTTTCTGCTATGTTTATTTACAAGCACAAGACATTTTCTGCTCTCATTGCTAAAATTATGGTTGATATATAGTGAGAGTGTTTCTGCACAGGGGCCCTTAGTTGACACTGTCTGCCCCTGAACAAGTCATATTATAGCAGGGAAGGATGGTTGGGACTTACAATACATAGAGATATAAGATTGGTAGGAAAGCTGTCTGTAGTTTATTCTATATTACTCCCATTTGGCAGTAAGGAGTTTCACTGACTAAAGGGTTACAATTTAAAAGAAAGGAAAATGAGGTAAGTAGGTCTCCAATGCACTGCCTTCAATACTGACAAATATAAAAATACTGTTGCTGTATAAGTTTATTATAATTATGCAGGATTTATATAGCTTTACAGTGCCATCTCTTCCTCCCTACATCCTCTTTCCATAATGGTCTCCTAAGTCTCTGTTCTCAGATCCCTGCTATTCTCCATTTACACTTTTACTCTTGGCCAGATGATTGCCAGCCATGGATTCCAATGCCATGTCTATGCTGACAACAACCACATCTCTACACACCCATTCAATCTTCCCACATATAACTAAATTACTAACTGTCATATCTATCAATGTGGATGTCACACCACTATCTATAATTCAGGTTTTCGATTATAATGCTATCCTCATAGATATACCTAAAAAACACATAGACATAGTGCCTCATCTTCTAAATATAGTAAACCTTTAATATTTCCCCTGATGAAGCTGCGTGACCTGCAGCGTAACGCGTAGGGGAGGGGCTACGACATCACCCGACACCCAAGGACGGCAAGTACATTCAGTGAACAGCGGACACGCTGGCTTTTACTGATCACAGATGTTTTTAAAAAACGCTTGTTATTTTTTATTACATGTGAGTGCATACGGGCACATATTAAAGGTTTACTATATTTAGAAGATAAGGCACTCTGTCTTTGTCTTTTTTATACTGAGGATTATTTCAAAGAGGAGATTAAGCGAGAGATCCCTGCAGTGATACTGATAGGAGAGGAGAGCCACGTGGAACAGCAATTGGGAGATATTCACCACTACTGCTATGGTGCAATACATGAATTATAGTTCCATTTGAGGAACAAAAGCTGGTTGAGCCTTTTAGAAGGCTTTATATGAGGTGAGCGCATATAGAGAATATAATAAGAAGTCACCGGGAATTGCGATTTCACATTTTGGATTTGCCATTTTCATCACTAGAGAATGTTTTTTTTGATCACTTTTTGACCACTTTTTTAATTGGATGTATATCACATTATCACAATGGACGTTTATCATCAATAAATTACACGGATAGAGATTATTTATAGTTTATATTTTATATTATATATTATTCTTGAGAGATATAATTTTATATGTTTATTAGCAATTTAGGAGCGTGGCACTATCATTTAAATTGGTTTATGTTTTACACACATTGTTTGAGTATGTGTTTGGTGCTGACGAACCTTGTTTAATTTAGGTAGTGGCTCACAAGTTATTTAAATATTTTAATTGTGCTTTTGATAAAACTGTAGCCTTACTGGCAGCTACAATCTAAATGCGACCTTTGCCTAATAACTATGACAACAAAAAGAATACTGGAGTCAGTGTTTTTCCAGGAAAATATTTAGGTGTTATATTCTTTGCCATTAAAGTTTGTACCACACACATCATAAATAGCCAACTAGCTCTGAATCTCTGAACTCTGTCTGCATAAAATGTAGTCTAACTCCATAACTCTGACCCCCAGTCACTACCAGATGCTTAAATGAGATACAGCCTGCTGAGAAAAGAAAATGATTACTGATGCTAATAGTAAATATTGTCTTTGTCTGAAGCTTTCATTAGCCGCTTGTCCACCACCCTATAGTAGAAGTACTGCTACAGGGCAGCAGGGCTGTGCAAAATCACGTATATATATGTGATTTGCATTTCTGTGTAGGGGACGAGCGCCACCCTACCCATGCCACTATTAGCAGCTAGGGATGTCAATCACTGAGAGACGGCCGGCGATTCCCAGCCTGCTTTCGGTGATCACCGTGTAAAGCCGACAGGAGAGAGACCTGTGTGTAAACAACACAGGTCTCTCTCATATCAGTATGGACATGCTGTTCTGTATCTCTCTGCACAGCAGAGGAATACAAAACAGCATGCCTCCCTAGTAAAACACAACACAGCACACATAGTAAAGCACACACAGCACAAAGTTAACCCTTTAATTGCCCAAAAGTTGACTCCTTCCTGCCCAGTGTCATTAGTACAGTGTCAGTGCCTTTTATTAGCACTGATCACTGTATTAATGTCACTGGGGATGTCAGTGGCCATTAGTCAGTTCCCTCCCAGTATCAGAATGCCTGCCGCAGTCCCTCAATCCCACTGTAAGTCACTGATTTCCACCATTACTGGTATAAAAAATAAAAATTCCATTATATATACCACCATTTGTAAACGCTTTAACTTTCACATAAACCAATTAATTTACACATATTGGGATTTTTTTTTTTTTTAGCAAAGACATGTAGCAAAATACATTTTGGCCTAAATTTATGATCAAATTTGATTGTTTAAATTTTGTTATATTGGATATGTTTTATATAAATTTTTTTTTCAAAATTGTAGGTCTTTTTTTGTTTATAGCGCAAGAAATACCACCAAAAGAAAGCTCTATTTGTGGGAAAGAAGAACATAAATTTATTTATGTACTACATTGCATGACTGCTGGTTAATGACAATGATGATGTGATAATGAATGTTTGTAATGAGTGCACAAGGTCCCTCAAGCACTATAACCAATGAAGTCACAGTGAGTATATACAGTATAGGACCTTTGGTCCCATACAATAACATAACCTCACCTGATC